TAGCAATCCTTGTACTAGTGGGACCTTTTGATGTAATTCATGTTTCTATGTAATGAAATATGTGTTTTATGCAAATGTGGAGTATGGGGGTGTTACATAACATCTTCGCATCATTCGACAATCTCGAGCTATATGTCCAGGTTCCTGACATTAAAAACATACTCGAGATTCTGTATTACAATTTCCCTGATGTATTTTATGACATCGGTTACAAGCCTTATCATTAAACCTTGAGAGTGGTCGGTTCACATTTTCCATAAACCTTGGTCTACGGACATCAGTAACAGTAACTTCCCCCTTTCTTTTCTCTCCAACCCTTTCTTGCGGTTGTCGGTTAATATCTTGTTCCAGTATTTCAGCAGCATCAACTACCGCCTGAAATGTTGTCAGATTTCTGGATATTACATATTTCCGAAGATTCGACTCCAATCCCCAAATATACTTTCTCACCCTGCTGTTTTCAGAAATAATATAGGATTCAGCAAACCTAGATTGTTCCATGAAAACTTCTGTATACTGGCGGACCGACATGTTTCCTTGTTCAAGACGAAGGAAATCATCTTCCAACTTTCGAACTGCAGCTTCAGGACAATACTGCATCTTAAATTTTACCACAAATTCTTCCCAAACCATAGTTTTCAGAATATTTGGGTCTGAACTAGACAAAACTTCCCACCAGTACAAAGCACTTGATCTCAAACGAGATACAACAAACATAACTTTGTCTTCTTCTGCACTTTTACTGATTTGCAGACTCAGCTCTATCTCCTTAAGCCAACACATAGCTTTAACAGGATCACGCTCACAAGAAAATTTAGGAGGTTTACAAGCAAGGAACATCTTGATATCTTCTCCCTTTTGTTCTGAGGATGCAGTAATAGGTACAGATGTACCAGTTACCAGTGTACTAGCTCCAACTTCTTCTTGCTCAGAATTTCTTTCCACATTTGGATCAGTTTGGTTTGTATGTTTCAACAAATTTACCAAACTTTCCTGAAATTTTCCCAGCTCAGCTGCCAACATATCTTGAGTAATATATTCAGGGTCAGAAACATTATGTCCACCCCTAGCTCTTCCTCGACCTCGGCCAGACATTGAACTTTCTTGAGCCAAAAATTCCTGTTCCCCACGAGTTTCTTGTCTAATACCTCGACCTCTTCCTCATCCTCTACTACGACTTCGTGTTTCTATTACATTTTCTAGATTCTCTTCTTGCGTAACATTCCTTCTTCCCCGACCTCTTCCATAGCCAGCAGAGGTCCTTTCCGATTGATTGGGATTATCTGCCATTTCTCAGTACGTAATCTTTTCTGTCACATTTAAACACACATGATTAATCTCATAATCATAACATCATAACATAATAGCACACTTATCCTCATATGTACTCATAACTCAGATTATATCAATCATATATAATCTACCTTTCTCATAATAGTTTCAGCTATAACATATTCCCATGTTCATAGACCCAGTGAAACCTATTATCTTAACTTTCCACACCACTAGTTCAAGTCTAAGTATTTCGCAAATACCCAGATCCCTTAAACTAAGGCTCTGATACCAACTGTAACAACCCTCATATACCAAATACATATAATTCACATCATCATACTCATAATACTAAAATAGTATTATTACAAAACATAGACTATCAAAATGTATCTCTAA